AAAATTAATTTCTTTCGTTTTTTTCCTTTTTAAATTATTATTGAGTTTTTGAAATCACTTTTACAGTTCCTCAAAACCTTTTGCCTTTTTTATCACAATTTTTATTACGAAAAATTTTGATTTACCTACTGCTGAAAACCCCTTATTCTGACTCCACTAACACGAGATTTTCAATGCGAAAACCTTTATTTATGATACGTTAGTCAGTCATCTGATGCAGATGTATCCTAATAGAGTCAAAGAAAGAGGAAAATGATGAAACAAACGGAACATATTGGTAAAATCTTTAAGTTAAATATCCAAGCTCCTGGAAACTAACAAACGCAACTCCAAGAACATAACTATTTTTTGAAACAGACTTCTATCTGCCGTGTCTCTGAAATAACCTATCTGCCACACCTGCTCTTAACAAATGAGTACTGAATAGCGAGATGTCAGGAACAATGTCCTTGAAGGTTTTCTTAAAATAATCCCTTACACTAGAGTAACTTATAGGCTTATTAAGAGAAGCCAACTTATGACCTGACTTGGAATTTGAAAGAGGCCAGAAAATAAAGTGACCGGAATCAAGAACATAAGGACTGGCCTTACTTAAATAACGCCTCAAAATCTTGACAGTACAACTAAGAGTGCTAGGACTCTCAGAAATCACTACTTCTTTACCCTTTCCTAAGTTGATAGGTCTTACTTCTGTCAACATTAATTAATAGCGACATAACCTGTATGAAAAACAATGTCTCTATACCTAATACGGAGAACTTCATCAATTCTGAAAAAAACCGCCAACGCCAAAACAAAAATACAAACATTTCTAAATTCAAGGAGGCTATCTTAATTCGAAGCCTCCACAAGCTTTCTTAACATATCTGGTGAAACAGGCTCTTTTTTATTTAACAAACGAGTTCCAGTCAACCGCTTGGCGGCATTAATAACAGCTTGGATGAAAGGACTGTCAGTCGGCGAAGAAATGCCAGCCAAGTTATGCACCCCTTGGATTCCATGAATGGCAGAGTCCACAGCAGAATGAGAACGAGTTGTGTCCAACAGGTACTGGAGGTAGAGGGCAACATGCTCTGTACTGGCGGGAAAAACCTGAATTACGTCTCTAGAGCAGGCAAAATCTCTCCATCTCAAAAACAATCTTCTGTAGGCATCTGGTGTTTCTGAAGCTCCAGACGCAATTACTGTAGACTCCAATCTAGAACCCAGGTCCCTCAATGACGGGTCTTGGAGGGCAGGTAGAGACATTCAAACGCCGGAAGCGAAAATATCTAAACAAACCAGGAGAGAAAACAAACAAAATAGAGAAAGAGACGGAGAAAAAGAAAATGCAGAATAAGTATAATATACAACATATCAAAACATAAAAATCACAAACAACGTTCAAAAGTCAAAACGAGTCCTGGGAAGGGCGGTGCCGAAGGACAATAATCCTAAATCAGACCTGAATTAAACGCCAAATTAAACAAGTGAAAGACACGGGCGAGCCACAGGGGGACAAACGGAACAACAGAATGCAACGATATTGCTGTACACGTCACCACCAGGGGTGCCTGGTACCAATAAACATACGATACATCACTTGATGCGGAAAAAGCAACCAGTAAAACCAGTAACCCTACAAGTAAGGGTACGAATGAAGAGAATACACCAAAGGGGTGCAAAGAATAAAGCTACTTCCAGAAATGAGCCATAATGCAACGGTAGAACTGCGGCTAAGAAATACACCATATCACTGGCGATTAAATAACAATAACGACGAGAAGCCCCGCCGAGGGGCACTAATCAGTCTAATAAACAAAGGCTTCCGGGGCGTCCACAAAATAATAATTTTACTGCCCAAAACCATCCAAAACTGGGCTTATTCTATTTTGCGAAACGAAACGAAACGAAATATATGGGAGAGGGAGAAAAAATGCTTATTAACCTAAACACAGCTTAAGACAACATTGACAATGTGTTTGGAAGTAATAGTTAACGAAAAATGACGGATTTTTACCTTTTTCGCAAAGTAGTAATTTCAATACAATTACTATTTTGCGAAATGGCGTTTTTCACCTATATTTATTTAGCAAATATGTCCTTTTCGTCTGAAACAAATTGTGTCCACCAGTAAAATGATTTATATTTCGAAGAGTCNCCACAGGGGGACAAACGGAACAACAGAATGCAACGATATTGCTGTACACGTCACCACCAGGGGTGCCTGGTACCAATAAACATACGATACATCACTTGATGCGGAAAAAGCAACCAGTAAAACCAGTAACCCTACAAGTAAGGGTACGAATGAAGAGAATACACCAAAGGGGTGCAAAGAATAAAGCTACTTCCAGAAATGAGCCATAATGCAACGGTAGAACTGCGGCTAAGAAATACACCATATCACTGGCGATTAAATAACAATAACGACGAGAAGCCCCGCCGAGGGGCACTAATCAGTCTAATAAACAAAGGCTTCTGGGGCGTCCACAAAATAATAATTTTACTGCCCAAAACCATCCAAAACTGGGCTTATTCTATTTTGCGAAACGAAACGAAACGAAATATATGGGAGAGGGAGAAAAAATGCTTATTAACCTAAACACAGCTTAAGACAACATTGACAATGTGTTTGGAAGTAATAGTTAACGAAAAATGACGGATTTTTACCTTTTTCGCAAAGTAGTAATTTCAATACAATTACTATTTTGCGAAATGGCGTTTTTCACCTATATTTATTTAGCAAATATGTCCTTTTCGTCTGAAACAAATTGTGTCCACCAGTAAAATGATTTATATTTCGAAGAGTCTGGCGACTTCTCATTTTATTAGCCGTACTAGAACTCATTTCGCAAAGTAGTAATTTCAATACAATTACTATTTTGCGAAATGGCATTTTTTCACCTTTATTTAGCAAATATGTCCTTTTTGTCTGAAACAAATTGTGTCCACCAATAAAATGATTAATATTTCGCAGAGTCTGGGCACCTCTCATTTTACTGACCGTACTAGAACTCATTTCGCAAAGTAGTAATTTTGCCAGAACTACTATTTTGCGAAATGAATTATCTAGGCTCTTTTGTGATGCAGTGAAGTTGTTTTTGTGCCATAAAAATTTGTGTAATAATGTAATGATAATAACAACAATAATAATAATTTATTATTTGTAAGGCGCAATATAGCATTTAAATATGATCTTATGTGCTCATTGTGTAAACATCAATTCCTGAAAAGTTCTGAACTCAAGACTACGTATTTTTATGGGAGAACGCGGGAATTTGTCGGCATTAAAGTCTGTATTTGAAGGAATGTTTTAAAATTTAACACGGATGTGTGTATGGTGCGTACTCGAATGCATTCCTTTGTTCCTTTTTTTATTGCAAAAGAAACAAATATTTGTATTCTGGGTAGAATGTATTTCGTAGAGCGCTCAATTTATTTCAAGAGCATTCATTTGACTATTAACAACTTCACAGGAGCCCAGGCTTTAGGAGTAATCATCGATCGTTTATTGCGACATTGCTGTTTCGTATGGTCCAAATTATAGGACCACACTAATGTATATATATTTTTGATAAAAAAACAAACAAACAAACAAACAGAGATTCAGTCCATTGTTCTTATGGAGTGTTCTATCAAAGAGGTGCTTGAGAGTTTTTTCGTCCTTTTTACCCATTTCAAATGTATTGTTTATGTTTTATGTTTACATGTATTATCCTTCTGTCAATGAACCATAGAAAAACGTTTATAAAAGTTCGCAAGACATCTTGTTTTGCCATTGTTCGGAATTACTTATTGCTCTAAAAAAGATGTTACCAATATCAGGTCAATCAGGAGCTCGGTGGTGGGAAATTGCCTCCTTCTCCATGCCCAGAGTTTAAAAAGAGACCTCCAGAAAAGGAATAATCCATTTGAATAAATTAAATTTTCCAGAAAACTCCGATGCACCTTGGCATTCGTGTGATATAACTGGAATTCGTGACTTTTGTAGTTTTAATTTAGTTTAACAGCGTGACAAGTGCTAGTGAGTCATAATTCACGTGACGTGTCAATTCCAGAAATTGAGTAACTTGCATTTCCGTAAGTTTTCTTGGTGTACACGTGTCGAGAAAAGTTTCTCTGTTCTCGAGGTTTTTATAATCTGTCAGGACTATGGCATTTTTAAAAATTCCAGTTATCAAGCAAACGACCCTAGACTGCTCGGGTCTGCCGCTGTATGACTCCAGGTGTTTTACCAACAAGGAGATAATTGGTAATGGGGCGTACGGTGCGGTTTTTACCGCTGACGTCCCATTCGCGAGTAAGAATGGAGAAGCAAATGCAGCTGTCGAAAAGGTAGTCGTGAAGAAAATGCTAAGCGATGACGTTTTGGACAAGAAGACCTTTATAAAGGAAGCAAGAATACTACAAAGGCTACAGCACCCAAACATCGTAGACTTCAAGGGTATCTGCAATAATCCATTTGCCCTTGTGCTAGAGTACGTCTACTTTGATTTTAAACCATTTGGTGTGGAGCAGAAAGTGAGCTCCCTTGCTCAATTTCTTGGTGTTCTTGCGAAAGGGTTCTAGTACGGCCAATAAAATGAGAGGTGCCCAGACGCTTCAAAATATTAATCAATTTATTGGTGGATACAATTTTTTTCGGACGAGAAGGACATATTTGCTAAATATAGGGGAAAAAAAGGTAAAAAACGCCATTTCGCAAAATAGTAATTCTGGCAAAATTACTACTTTGCGAAATGAGTTCTAGCACGGTCAATAACATGAGAAGTCACCAGACTCTTCGAAATATGAATAATTTTATTGGCGGACACAATTTGTTTCAGACGAAAAGGACATATTTGCTAAATGAAGGTGAAAAAAATCCATTTCGCAAAGTAGTAATTCTGGAAAAATTACTACTTTGCGAAATGAGTTCTAGCACGGTCAATAACATGAGAAGTCACCAGGCTCTTCGAAATATTAATCATTTTATTGGTGGACACAATTTGTTTCAGACGAAAAGGACATATTTGCTAAATAAAGGTGAAAAAATGCCATTTCGCAAAATAGTAATTCTGGCAAAATTACTACTTTGCGAAAAAGGTAAAAATCCGTCATTTTTCGTTAACTATTACTTCCAAACACATTGTCAATGTTGTCTTAAGCTGTGTTTAGGTTAATAAGCATTTTTCTCCCTCTCCTATATATTTCGTTTCGTTTCGTTTCGCAAAACAGAATAAGCCCGAAAACTGAATAAAACAGGAGGGTGAAAGGTGAAAGCAGGATTAGGCACATACTTGAACACAGAGCTCTTAGGGCTCACACACGAAGCAGTGGCCCTTTGAAGATGTGCAAAACCCAGCATATGAACCATGGTCACTCGTAGCAGCAAAATCAATGCGTGGAGCAAGACACCTTTAAATTGACTTGAAGTGGTCTGTGGAAAATAAGCAGTTGTTTGCTCTACCCTTGACAAACAAATCGGGTCTGCTCGGAAGGTACATCCAGCCTGCTATAAACGAATTTAGATGAAAACCATTCGTACTCAACAAAGGCCAAAAGTATGCAGATTTAGACATCGGCACAACTAAAGTCCCGCGCACCGAAGAAGATCTCATAGTAGGGGCTAAAACTTTACCGACGATGGCCAATGATGACCAATCCTGTGTAAAAGCATCAACAGCCTCTGCACTGAAGGAATCTGGAATTAAACCGAGGCAATTTAGCATTTTAATAACAAGCAAATCTGTTAACCGTATGCGGACCCCAGAACTCATCGAGTTGAGCAAAGACTTCATAGTTAAACGGAATAGTCGTCAGAATCAATTATCTTGCTGATTAAAAAAAAATCCGCTTTAGCATTCTGTTGTCGAGGCAATCAGAAATATCCAGTTGAATCCGCCGCTGGGAGACGGAAAAAAGTCACCTTCAAAGCTATGTCCAGTAGATCTTGAACCATACTACCGAGCTGAATAATTCTAACAACATTCTGATTGTCAGTGTATAAGCGTACTCTTTGGCGTATTAAATGATTCTCGAAGGACTGAAGAGCAAACTGAATCCCAACCAGCTTCCTCCAAGTGGAAGACTTACGAGACTCTTCAACGGACCAATTTCGGCGAGAAACCAGACTAGAATCTTGAATAAAAGCAGCACAGCCCGTAAAAGAAGCATCCGAAAACAAAACTTTAGATGGAACAAACGGAACCGGCCAGAACAGCTTACCGGCCATAATTAAGCATTTTAAATTGTCCCTCCAAAAGAATAGCCTGCGAACAAGAAGAGCTCTTTCTTCGCAAAAGTGTAAATGGAATTTGAATGCCATTTTCCCACACTATCGAAAAACGGTTGCCACTAAGGTACACGTTTTGTAGTGAAATAAGCTATTTTGCTCCATTAGCAATCATCATAAAATCGAAAATTCAAATTCAGTGGCGATTTAGTGGCTAGCTTGCATAAAGTAAGCATCTATGAGAAGTAACAATCTCAAAATTCTTGGAAAATAGATACTCGCAGCATGTTCTGCCTCAATTTATATGTGCTTTGCATCAGTGTAATATTGCCTGGCATGATGGAAACAAAAAGTATATTTCCCGAAGAGTACTGACAAAAACACAGGTACGGCCTTTGAAAGAAATCGCTATCTTGTTGAATCGCAAAGATTGTAATATGTTTCTTTAATAAACTGATTTCATATAAATGAAACATATTCAAACTTCTGTAAAAGTTGTTTTGCTTCGTTTTCATTTTTTTCTTCTAGGAAAGGTCAAAATAGCCTGTGTACAGACCCCCCTCCCCTCAGGAAAAATTCGGCCTCCATAAAGGATTAGCGACGTTGAATCACAGACGCCCCTTCTCTGATTTTTCCTGAGGGAAGAGGGGTCTGTACGCAGACTACTAAATCACAAGAAGTAAAAACTTTTAAGTTCTTGGGAATTAAATATTTGACAACATACGGCCTAATTCTGTCTATTTCCCAACTAATCTCCTTTTTCCTTATTTTAGTTAATTTGCAATTTTGATTTGGCAGAATTATTACCTCAATAGTTTTGCTTACATTTTGCTTTACTGTGATATTTTCTTTAAGTAAATTGTAAAGTGACTAAGATCAGTAAAAAACGTAGGCACCAACTTTGAAATAAACGATCGTTTATATCTTGAAAGGTTGTAATAACATTTCTCAGTTTTGTAAAAAATACCATATGAATCAAACAGTAACCTTTTATATATTACGTTAAATTTCCTAAAGCCTTGTTTCGCTTGTTTTTATTTTTATTTTTTTCACGGAAGATAATATCTTATTTTGAGGTCACATTGAGTAGTAAGAAATCACTATTAAAATCAATTCAAATCGTCGTGTAGCACGAAATTTTTCGTGGGAGTATATTTTTGCGGATTAGCGATTTTTTGTGTTTGGCGGGAACTAATTTTTGCGATTAGCACAGCTTGATTTTTCTTGACGGAAATTACTTTTTGCGATTTTCAGAATTTCCAGGACCAGGTCATAGGCTCTGGCCAGGACTGTTTTAACGATAAAATTTTCGTTTTTATTGAGCCATGCAATGGAAATACATTATTTTCTACGGTGTCCGTACCCTACGTAAAACCAGTAAAACAAATTACGTACTTTTCTTCGTCATTCGATTGCGAACATTGAATAGACACGAATTCTTACATGTATTTTTGAGTAGCAAATTTGAGTTTGAAAATATTTACTCTGGGGTAAATTTTTACGAGGATATTATTTTTTATTTATTTATTTATTTATTTATTTTTTGTCATTTGCCGGAACTTACCTTTGCGTATTACTGGAAAAAATGCAAAACTTAGAACCGTAAAAATTTTGTGCCTCATGGCACTCGCGGAGTAGCTAGGCTCATCACACTAGAGCCGTAAAACCTCAATCGTTCTTGGACTTTTTGGAAATTAAGATATGCCTCACTCTATTAATTTCTCACCTTATATCTTTTTTCTGCAATTTTGCGAGGTCCTCTCCTGCTGGTTTGAGGGGAAATTAAGCGCGCGCGGACCTTCGAAATTTCTTTCTTCGCCCCTACTATGCAGGCTATAATCTAAATAGACTAAAAGTCAGGCCTGAATTTAGGTCGCGATCGATGGAGGAAAGGATCAGACTTGTTATCAGTAAACGGCAAATCACTGCCTGAATCCTGTGCTTTTCATTTCCTTTGTTTTCTTTTTGTTATGAAAACTGAGAAACAAAACTGCGGTGAAATCGTTATGCCCTGCTTTGCTCTTGCGATCAGCAGTTAGTCAAGGGCACCCGACCACTGTTTTCTGTAAAATATCTGTTCGGAGAAGGATTTTCTATCGCTCGAGGACGGCTAAAAATTTATAGATGACTGTTCCATTCATGTACAATTTTCGAAGCAGTCTTTAATATCTAGTAATAAATTCCCTACGATTTTCTGAGGTTTAATTTTTCCAATTTCACTGCCGGCGGGTTATGATATTTTTCGTAGAAAAAGGAAACCTAAAATTTTCGGATTCAAAAAAGGCCGTGGAGGGAGCAAGCCAAAAAACGCTGACTTTCGTAACATATTAAATTGCATATAAAATTTCTTGGATAATAATACTGAAGCCCTTGTACATTTCGAAAAGACTTGAGTTCCCCTAACTAGGATCGATAACCGAACAGATACAAATTTTATAGCGCCTCTTAGTATTTCAGGGCTAGAGATCTAAAAGTACTCTGGATAGCTTAAAATTAGAAGGAAATCGTCGTTGGGTGCCCCTGTTTAATTGCTATACTGCATCAAGTAAGCAAGTACATCTAGTAATATTACAACCTCAAAAATCTTGGGAATTAAATATTTCGCAGAACTGTTGGAGCGTTTAAAGTGGTTAGCAAATTTATGTTGGCTCGACCCAGTATTTTTGTAGGTACCGGCTTCCGTCTTTGAATCTTTTAGACTTAAACAAATCTATCTTCATTGTAAAACCATTAAAACAAATGTTTTACACAAAAAAAATCGAATTGCAGCCCTCATCGACATTTTCTTTAGAAATGCCTGACCTGTACCTTGGGTGCTTGTCTTCTGTTGTGCGAAGTTTCACAAAAATCTAAAAGAGGAATCTCGAGATAACTAGGAATTTCTACAAAAAGGGCATAAATTATGCATGAACTGAAGACTGGACTTATAAATGCAGACCAATTTGCTACTTTTTGGATGTGTCCGAAAAGTTGTTATCACTCATTCGTTTTGTAAAAGACCCTCATACACTCTACAACCGGCTAAACGCAAGTAGATTTGCGCGATTTCGAAAAACACGAAAACATGTAAATCAGAGTAAAACGCAATGCTGAGCCCTTTTTGTAATTTTAAAGGCTACTTTCACGAAAACAGAGATTAAACCAAAATTCGTCGATAGGTTTTCTTTAAAAAATTTCAGTGCTACATCAGATTAGCCGGTCCTATAAAACCTCTGAATTTCGTGCCCATTGGAAACTTTGAAAAATTGAGCAAATAGGTGTACCTACAAAAATGCTGGGTGGAGCCACCTTAATTTCTTATTTTGCCATTTTACCCCTTATTTGCGTTTCTCTAGTGACCCCTTTAACAATCCAGAGTAAAGCCAACGATAACCCGCCTAGAAGAACATCACATAATACAACCAATGAGTTAAAGAACATTTTATTCTACAGTTTCATCACAGTAAAGGTTTTCTACAATTCCTATCGAACTGAGTTATTATTTCATGCTTTGTCGCTCACGACTCCCCTTACGAGTTTTTTGTTGTTGTTGTTCCGTCTGTCACGTGACTTTGGACATTTTTCGCTCCATATGTTCTGTGTTGTCGTCTGTAGCGAGGACATTGTTAGCAACTTTGAAGCCGAACAGTTCGGTAAGTTAGTCTTTTTATGGTTTGGACCTGCCTTTTTTTCTTTCCTTTTAGGTTTCAGATCGAGCGATTGTTATTGAGAACTTAGGTAGCCTTTGTGTGGCTGTTATTCCTCCTTATCAGAAAACCACCTACAGCCACAAGGTCGACCATGTATGTGCAAGTCCTCGATTCGTTTGAGTACGATTTTCATTTGAGGCGAGATTTGCAGGTTTTCGACGTTCACAAATAAAGCTGCAGAAAAAGATAAGTTCTTATGAGTTCTTCGTGATTCGCATCAACATGCTTTGTGGATAGCAACTTAGTCCACAGGCCGCCCAAACTCTGTGGGACTGAGCTCGTTGGACTTTGAATTTATAAGAGAATGTATGAAAATAATCTGCAGAGTTGTACTAACAGAGTTGTACTAACAGTTACTGTTACGGTTTCCAAATGGCTCTAGAGGCGTAGAGACAGTAAATAACAAAACACAAACACAAGATATGTCATTTTTATTTCTATTTTTTTCAAAAAATGGAATTTAGGACGTATTTTGTTTATTTTCATACATTCTCTTATAAATTCAATGTCCAACGAACTCAGTTCCACAGAGTTTTGGCCGCCTGTGCTTGGTCGAACCGAGATAGACAAGTTTCCTATTTGGGCGCGGAACTGTTTCTGTGATGCTACGTACTACTGCGAATGCATTATGTCCGTAACAATATTGAATTGGCGGCGCTGCTCAACAGCTGACTTGACCATGGCCACTTCTCGCAATTATTACACCGGTCAAACGATGTCATTGCTGTTAGAATCTTGACAAACTCCAATCCGTCGGAGCATCTTCTTCACCGCATCACGGAATTCTCTTTTACGGATGGAATAGATGATCGGGTTGCATATTGCGCTGAGGAAGAAAATGCAATTTGCCGCGAGAACCACTCCGGCTGGAACATCGATGCTTGTAACGAGTTTTTGGCATATACTCATACCCCAGCCTGGCAGAAGGCACACCAAAAACGCGGCGATGACGATGGCCACATCGATAGCTGCCTTACGATCTGCTCTGAACCGCCTCGACATTTCTTGCTGCTGAGAGCTTACAGCATCACCGTGTCCACCCACTTGAGCTTCAATGGCGTTTATTTGCCTTTTCGCCGTCCTGTATACGTGCACGTTTAGGAATACGATCACCAGGAATGGCACAGGCACAATAGCGGTCGCGATTAATATCACGATAATCTTTCTTGTGGACGAACTACTCTGCTCAGCCCATCCTGGTTCGCAATGGAACACCTCTGGGTTGTAAAAGCTCTGTCCCCAACCCAAAAGTAGATCGATGGAAAGTGGAATCGGTATTATCCAGAGGAGAGCCATAAACACCACACTAGTTTTCGTAATGGCGCCATCGTACGTCAAAGGCTAGGTATCGATCATAAGACACTGCTACCAAGTGAAAAACCGTGTTGATGTAAAAGTATCTTGTAAAGAACGGGTTGAGATAGCACATTGTTTCGCCATACAACCAATGTTCCTGCGCTGTGCTTCCGATACGGAATGAGTTAACGAGGATCAATAGCAGAACGTCCGATAACGCGAGACTTGCCAGTAATATATATCGCATCACATGAAATCTTGATTCCAAGATGATCGTCAATATAACCAATATATTACCAGGAAGACCGATCACGTCGTACATCACGTGGAAGGTTGCTATCACTTGAGGGAAACCCATATCTGAAATTGATGATTAGTGTTGTACTTTGCTTGTTGTGGGCTACAAAGTACATAAATGAGAAATTTTCTCAAATGTATGTGCTTTTAAAACTTTTGCTTCAATAGCATTAACTTTTTCACTCTTCACCAATGCGCGTCATCTCCGTTTTCTTTCGGTCATAATGAAAACTTAACGGCAACTTTTGTGACAGAATCGTTATTTTGTTGAGTCGCAAAGATTGTTACAAGTGGGGAATGTACATAATTTCTTTATTTGTGTGTGACTCATAATCTAAACGAAACCTTTTTTCCCCGAGAGTAACAAAACCACCGGCAGTGAATTCGGAAGAAATCATGATTTTGTAAAAGATATGATGTGAATGAGACATCTGTTAACTAAGAAAGCTTCTAAAGCCTGATATTTCGATTAATTTTCAACTGCGCCAAAATGAAAGCGGATTTAATTTTTTAAAAAGACATCCTAGCAACGATCCTTCACCAAATTACTTTTTTTGCAGTGCTAATTAGGTAGGACCTCTGCCCAATTAAAACTGAAATTCAACTCGTGATAAATCAGCTTTGATACAATTTGTTTGTAATGTTTTGCTTTACTGCGATGGCTTTTTTCTAAGTAAAGCTGTAAAGAAAATAAGTTGGTCTAGTTGTAAAACTCAGTCAAAAAATATATCGAGCTGCAATACCTTCACTTTTGTTTGTTTAGACGGTACCTAACAAGTTAGCATGCGAAAACAGTCTTTCTCCTCGCTCTTCGCCGCTGAGGACGTTTCGCGAAACGTCCCACGCGGCGAAGAGCGAGGAGAAACGGCTGTTTTCGCACGCCACTTACAAGTGTGTTACCTCACTTATCCCAGTGGTGTTTGATGAGGTTTTAAAGGTCCCTAACCCATCACAAAAATTGGATAGAAAATAGTTATAGGTTGGTCAATTGCTTTTACTGAAGACAGCATATCGTCTCGGTCCAACAAAATAAGGTCTATTAGTATTCATTCCAAATATTTCGCTGTTTATTATTTATTCCAATCCCCGCGGCAAATTTTTCATAACCCACTGGCGCATACTATGTTTAAAGGATGAGAGCAATGTTTATTCCTTAGTGAACTAAAACGTAAAATGGCGTCCACGGCTATGCGAGGACAAAATAGCTGAATTTTTTACTAACTAAAAGGATCAATTGCGCAGAATATATTGTTCAAGGTGTTATCTACTGTTTAAAGAGTATCTGCAAGGAAAAACATCTTATATGTTGTGGTTCAATTTTATCTTTAGTTAACATTTTTTCCTTTATGTTAAACTCATTATCATACATTACCATACCCAAAAACAAAGGAAAATAAAATTTAAACCAAGGAAAAAATTGAACCACAATACTATCCTGAAACTGTGGCGATAATAGAAAACGTTTTTAAGAAAGTTTACGAGAGGGTATAAGCTTAAGACTTAGAAAGTATCACTCTTCACATTTAACTTTGCCTCCTTGGCTTTCTCTTAGGTGGCCTTCTCATTGTAGACTACGAGTAGTCCCGCATTTTTCCTCAGTGATAGTAGAGCAAGCGAA